GGCACTGTAGAAGGTTGAGGACAAGGTGTAGGTTTTGCTTCTCTCCACCATGTAGGTCCCAGGGACTGAATTCCTGTCATCAGGTCTGTTACAGGCTAATTAATTAATTAATTAATTAATTAAATTAAGCTGCTACTCTGGAATGAAAGAGCTTGGAGTTTTCTAGTCTAGTATTTTGCTGTTTTGAACTTTTTTTTTCTTCAAAAATTTTTATTCAAGAATTTCATATAGTGTGTTTTGATCATATTCAATCTCCTTCCACCCTCTCTTCCCACCTTACTTCTCCCATAACCCAACTTCATGTCCTCTACTAATCATCCTAAGTGAGTTAACCCAGACCTAGAAAGACAAAAGTTACATGTTCTCTCTTATGAGTAGGTGCTATCTTTGAATCTTTAGATAGATGTATTTCAATCAGAAAACTAATAGATGCAGTGGGGTGTGGTTCATAGGAGAGATAGAATTAGTTTTGGCTTTTAATAAGACCTTGTCCAGGTATTTGCACATTTCATGTCGTTTTTGCATTGGTTGAGCAGCCTAGTGCTCTCATTTCATTAACTCAAGAATCTTGAATCAAGAACCTTGAAGAATCTTTGTAGAGCTTTTACCTCAGCATCTAAACTCTCCAGTGAACAAACAACTTTAATTTTTTTGCTAAAATTTCTATGATCTTTAATACTTGGTCATCTCAGGCCTTTTTGCTAGACTGTACACAAATGATCCCAGACTGGTGAATGTTCAGCTCTTTCCCCAAAGGGTCATTGTGCCGGTTTACCTTTAATATCATCTACTATATTTTATTGTCTGCAAACTCTATGTGACTGAGTTTCAAAGATATCACTATCCTCTGTGTAGGCAGGGATATACTTGTGGGCAATGATAAAAAACTGGCTCTCTGGCAAAAGGAAATCCCAATCCCTTATTTATGGCCTGTGGTTCTGGTTTTATATAACCATCCTATCCATGACTGACACTGTTCATCTTGGAGCTGGAAAGGGACATTAGCGACTTTTGTCAGTTGGCTTCAATACTCCAGTACAATTAGGGAACACTTATTATTATTTACTTAATTTTTAAATATTTTACTGTTTTTATGTCTATTCATGTATTGCCTGCATGTGTGTAAGTATACCCATGTCGTGAAGTGTCTGCGGAGCTCAGAAGAGGCGGTCGGATCCCCTGGAACTGGTGTTACAGACAATTGTTAGCTGCCATGTGGGTGGTAGGAATCAAACCTGGGTCCTCTGCAGAGCAATCCATGCTCTTAACCCCTGAGCTATCTCTCCAGCATCTGGGAGCACTTACTAAATAAGTAGTCTGTTGTGCTTTGTAGGTGAGTTGCAGAATTCATATCATATAGCAGTCCACATGAATTGATCCCTCTTTCTCTCTTTAAAAACTCCCCCTCCCTCCCTCCTTTCTGTCTCTCTCTCTCCCCCTCCTTTCTAGATATGTACCGTAGTCTTCTGTACACTTTTGCATATGTCATACCTATGTTATAAGTGATCTCTGCCAAGTCTGTTTTCTTACTGTGATGAAATATCTGAAGGTGGGTACCTATAAAGGAAAAAAAATTACTTACCTCACATATTGTGCTAGCTCTGGTTAGGGCCATATTACCTCATGTGGATGATACTGTAGTGTCAGGAGCGTAGTGGAGAGATCACATTGTAAAGTAGGAAACCAAAAAGAGAGGGAAGGAGCCAGGCTTGCTCTTTTAATAACTCATTTCAGGAAATGAGATTCCTAGGGTAGACCCCTAATGACCTAAAGACCTTCTCCTACTGGGCCCCATCTCCTAAAATTTTCCTTCATCTTCTATATTACTATGATAGGGACTAAGCTTCCTAATACCTGAACCCCTGGGGGACAAGCACATCCAACCATTAACCTTCTTATTTGAATGATTCTTTGACAGAGCTAGGATATTTTTCTGATTTTAGAATTGTTTGATGACCTTTGGTGGTGCAGTTTCTAACTAAGCCCAACACAATCTTGCTTATAGTTCTGGAAAAGACTGTATTGACATTTACATTGACAGCTTTTGATTCTCTGCTGCTGTCTTCTTAATCTGCTGAAGTGCAGTCATTGCTTTCTGCTCATGGCTTCCCATCTTCCTTCATATGTCAACAGTAAAGATACTTCTTAAATTATTTGAATACTAAAGTCATGATGTCCTTACCTCTGGGCCTAGAGGAGGATGATGATACTTTTTAAGCCCTTTGTTGATTACTTTTCCTTTTGGCCCTATTCAAATTCAGATTTCTTTATTCTGTCTTAAGGAACAGGCTTAGTAGTATTCTTAGGTATAAGGTACATCTTTGCCAAAACCCACATAGCTCTATCTACTAGACTCTGATCATCTTGTCAAGGGAGAGATTAGTAAGGAATACTAAATATTTTTCAAAGATTATAGATATTCCTAGTATCTCTTGCTTAAATCATTCCTAAGCATTTCACAAATTGGATACACAGTGAGTGTATTGCTTGTGTGTATTTAAGTGCACCTGTGTTGTGCAATGCCAATGGAGGTCAGAAGAGGGTATCAGATTCCCCTGGAACTGGAGTTATGGGCAGTTGTTAGTTGCCATGTAGGTGCTGGGAATTAAACCCCAGTCCTCTGCAAGAGCAGCAGCCAGTGCTCTTAAGGTTATGCTGAGCAATCTCTCCAGCCCCTGTAATTCAGTTTTTAATTAGCCAATTTTTATCTCATTTAGGTGCTATAGTTTGGATCTGGCATGCCTTCCAAAGTCCTGTGTGTTCCCCAGCACACAGCACTGAGAAGTGCTGGAATCTTTTGAGAGGTGGGGCCTAATGGATTTTTTTTTTTTTGTAGTCCATGAGGGCACTCCCTTGAAGGTGACATAAAGAGAGGTTTATTTGGGGCCTAATTAGAGCAGCACATCATAGCTGAAGTGCTTGTCTTTCAGGAATGTTGTAAGCCAGGAAGGAGAAAGGGAATGTTGGTAGGAAAAGGTACAATAAGAGCTATTCTAATGAGGTTTCAGGTTAAAATGAGGAAGAAACTTTGGAAAATGGAGTAAAGACCGTCCTTACCATTCAGAAAGAAGTTGCTAAAATGCCTCCCTAATGTAAGACCCTGTGCTTGATCTTCAGCCCTGAAAACAAACAAAGCACAAAAATCAGTTTGGTGAAATTGTGTCTGTGCCCTTAGATTTTATGGACTGCAGAACTCCAGCAATTGTCAGGGTATCTGGTGGAAGAAACATTTAAGTAGCAGAGTATTAAGGCAGCTTCATGACTGCAAGAGGAAAGTGACTCAGAGATTAAGTCATAATTAAAAGAGAAGCCCATTGGAAAGGTTCCCTAACATTGAATCTGTTACCAGGGAATCAGGGTTCCTTTGTGGGTTCTGGTCTCCTGTGGTCACTGCCAGCGGCGGCAGCTCCTCCGCCTGCTCTGGGTTGAGGCCGCTCTTCTGCTCACCGGGTGCTGCCTTCTGGCGTCTCTGCTTCTGCCCAGTTCCGGACCCCAGGGCTGGTGAGGAGATTGTGTCAGTGGATCTGCATTCAGACACAGGAGACCAGATTCAGTGACACAGATCTGTTTATTGCAGGAAGGCACAAGCTTATATAGGGGTAGTGGTCCAATCACAGCACAGCAAGTAGGATACCTTATTAGCATAACAGGCTTAGCGTCCTATTAGCATAACAGACTTAATGTCTTATCACAGAATAGCAGGTAGGATATTGTGTCAGTGGATCTGCATTCAGACACAGGAGACCAGATTCAGTGACACAGATCTGTTTATTGCAGGAAGGCACAAGCTTATATAGGGGTAGTGGTCCAATCACAGCACAGCAAGTAGGATACCTTATTAGCATAACAGGCTTAGCGTCCTATTAGCATAACAGACTTAATGTCTTATCACAGAATAGCAGGTAGGATGCCTTCTGACTGTTGCAATATCTAAGTGTTGCAATTTTGGATTCCACAGGTGGGGATTAGGGAGTGGTGAGCTCTAGGCATCAGTCTCATGATCTGCCAATGGGAGCACATGTCACAAGGTGTTCCTTGTGGCTCCAGCGGTAGGGCCATTGCCTCCGGCCTGCTGTATGGCTGTCATTAAGACTTTCACCCTAGGCTCAAGCCTGTCACCCACAGTCTCCTTGATAACGACTCAGGGGGAAGCTCAGAGACTATTTTAAAAACCACAGGACAAGTAGACTGTAAATCCTAGCAGCTACTGGGAGGAAGGAGGTGGAGAAGAAAGTCATGCCTGCTGAATTACTGTCCAAGAAAGCAGGTTCAGTGATAGGAGTTGACAAGAGTTGTAGGGGGGCAGGTCTTCAGAGACAGAATGATAATGTCCAGAGGGTCAGGGCAAGCATGCTTAAGATTTTGGCCTGTATCAGATGAAGTAGAAAGAGGGGAAAGGAAAGGTTATGCTTTTTAAGTTAGAATTCAGGCTTAGCAGTGAAGGTCTGTAAGCAGCTGCCTCAAGGAGGATGTAAAAGTACATTGTCTCATTAAAGTCATAATTATTCCTCCCATCTCTTTAGCATGTCTGTATGAATCAGCCTTTTTGAGGAGTGGCCCCAGGCCAAGTGATTGACAGACCAAGTTGGATTAGCTCTTAAGGGAAGTAACAATAATATCTCTGTAGTCTTATGTTTTGATTAACTTAAAATGTCATATGTAGACCAGAGGTAGAACATGAATTTCATTCTTGATCAGGGAATAGCTTTCCCTTACTAGGACTCTAGGAAGCCTCCCTGTTACGTCTTCTGTTTTATATAGTAATTTAAAGCTTAAGGAGGGGCAACTATGATGCTTACCTTTCTTAAAGTTGGTGTTACCAGGGAAACAGGAGGTGAAGTTCAAAGCTGATTGTGAGGGAGGTATCCATCTTCAGTGCCCACCAAGCCTGCTAATACCTGTGTGTAGCTATCTAACAAAAATACTATATGAAGTGGTAGTGAAGATGTGGCTTTCCTAAAACTTTCATAGATGACTATAGGTATATAAGATGGAAGCAGTGTTTATGATGGCATAGGACCTTGTCTGACAATAATGATTTCAAAATTTAAGCTTAAAGTGGCACTCTGACAAAAAAGGAAGTAATTGGGAAGTTCCTTACAAAGTTATTATGATCTAACAATTCTTCCTTGAATATTTAGCTAAGAGAACTAAGAACAAGCTCCTACATAACATTTATTACTTCTTTATTCATTGTAGCCCCAAACTGGAAACAAACCAAATTCTTTTTTAGCAGGTGAGTATACAGATTGTGGTATATATACATAAGACAGAGCAATACAATTGACCCATCAGAAGGAACAGATTACTATTTTAACAGCAGTATGAATGAATATCAAAAAACCCTCATGCTGCATGGAATAATTGAGCTACAAAAGAACATTGTCAGGGGCTCTTTGTAGTGGGAGAGCTACTCTGCTAGGTGACAGCTAGGGACTTAGAAAAATAAGCAAAAATTAATTAATGTCAAGAATTTACTTTAGTGTTAAGAGCAAGAGGATAAACTGGAGAAACCTGATGTTCCATTTCTCCCTTGGAACGATGATTTTGGATCAGCTCATCTTATAGCTGAGGGTACCCCCTCAAAAAAAAGAAGTGAGAGTAGACAAGAGAAGGGAAGAAGTGCTTAGACTAGAAGACTACATTGAAGGTCATATGGGGTGGGAGTAGGGTAGAGTAAAGCGGGGATGAGAGGTGGAGTTCTGCAAGGTGCATCCCCTCCTGCTCACTCAAACCCTAATCCAGGTTAAAGAGGTTAAAGAGATCTACGTAGTGAGGAAGGATTTAGCCAAAGCTCCAGATAGATGGCCCCAGATAAAAATGTACTCTGGGGAGGGCTACAACCATATATGAGCAGAAACCCTGCTCCCACAGCATCAGCTCCTGCTGACCCAGCAAGCTAGGCTACAGCATCCATCCCAGTACAAGAAAAGATACATGTAATGGTGAAATGCAGAGAAAGATTTGACCAGTGTACTGGGAAGAAGAGCAAATAAAGGGCTTCTGTCCTTTAATCCTTGAAATGATATCAGCATCTTTCATGTCTCTTCTGTTTTGTATTTTCCGTCTCTACTACTTTGTGCTGTGTTTTAGAAAATCTATTCAGTTTTGCTTTCAAATCATTACTTCTTGGTCCATTGTCCTCTAAGTCTAATCTTAACTTAATTATTGAATTTCAGTTTCAATGAACATTTCTCATCTATATGATTTATACTTTTTTTTTAACTTATTCAATTATTTTTATGTTTATGAGTGTTTTGCCTGCATGTATTAAGTGTACCATGTGCATGCAATGTGGGTAAAGGCCAGAAAAGGCATTGAATCCCTTGGAACTGGAGTTATAGATGATGGTTAGTGGGTGCTGGGAACTGAACCCAGGTCCTTGGCTAGAGCAGCTAGTGCTCTTCACTGCTGAGCTATCTTTCCACCCCCTCTGTGGCCCAAATTCTCTCTGGGTCTCCTGTTTACAATCAGACAAACCATATAATATATATATATATATATTTTTTTTTGTATTTTTTTTTAATCATTATTTTTTT